GCATTTGATATGTATACTAGACTAGCTGTTCCCGTGCGTCATCAGCGTAAAATTATTCTATTGTTTACATTTGTCAAATTGTCAATTGCAAATGTCAAAATGACATGACATGACAAAACTTGGCAATCTTGCTTCCTTGATGTTGGCAGCAACTTATGATCTGTTTCCCACATTAGGGTTTTTATCCAAAATATTTACCCCCTAAGTTTAATTACGTATAGCCTAAAGCGTGACATAAGTGTAGGGCTTTTTATAAAAGAAAGAATTATTCAAAAATATGCTGTAATTGCTGACTTAGGCGACAAAGAAGTGTGTGTTTACGCTTTATTATAATAGTATAGATTATGTTTATTATTAAGTGATAGTTGCTCTACACGGGGTTATCGAACTTGGGATTTAACTGTTATAATACTAAATACGAGTTGTGCTTAAATATGGCGGTGTAAGGCCGCAATAAAAACAATTTAAAACCAGTACCTTATACGACGACAAAATAAAGTACTACCGGCACTTAGAAATGTTTGAATGAATGAATTCTTGTTAAATCAAAATGATTAGCAAATAATGTACAGAGATTTTTGTGGATAAACTACAGGAACATTAAAATACATTGATTAGGATAATCTAATAAATTAGAATTGTTTTTAATAAAAAAACCTACAAATTCGATTGACTCTACTAAAATAATACTAATAAGAATACGCATAAAAATAGAAATTGAAGAAGGGGAGGTCACAACGAAATGGTCATATTCTAATAAAACAGTTCTTCGTGAATCGGGCAAAATGGAATATATTAAATTTACATCCTCAGTACTCGCGAGCAACATTTTGGTGAAATGTAAAAGTTTTGTTCGTGAACGACTACCGCTTGATGTTATTTCCCTCTTAATAATGCAGGCACGTAATGTGCGCTAATGAAAATTGTTCCGTGACGACTGTATTCGGAGTCGTTTCGGACTGCGTTAGCTACATTAGATAGGCCAGGAAACTTTTAACAAGTCGTTAAAAATATTTTAATGTGAATTCCTATTCGTGTAATTAATAAAAAACTTTTGATGCACATTATATTGCATATGCAATTTTAAAGCGTAATCATATCTGGTCTAGGCTTGTCCAACTAATATTGTAAATGTGAAAGTTTAGATGGATGTTTGTTAGAGTTTGTAGCCTGAAGGGCTCAACGCATCTCGATGCAATTGGTATAGATGTAGAATATAGCCTGGAAGAATACATAAATTACTTATTTTTGTTTTTTTAATACAACGCGCACGGAGTCGCGTGCAAAAGCTTAGATGTGTATGTTTAGATGGATGGATTTTTGTTAGAGTTTTTACCGTAAACGGAATGTTTACATGCAAAATACAATAAATTACAATGATGATATTTATAATAACTCGCAGCGTGATAGATCTATTATAAGGAGTTTTTGTATAATAATACCATTACGTTCATACGATGTTGTGGAAAGAATTGCTTGTAGTAATAAGACCGGCCATTGTGCTGGCTATATCTTAAGTAATAGCCGTAATGTACTTGTGTTAATGTGCTTGCTGTGCAATAAACTATTTTCCATTGTGTTTTACAACGAACAAACGCTTTATTTAATGCAGAAGGAAATGCACCTTGTTTCTATCATAAATTTGTTCAACTTTTATATGGCTCGTTTGTAATTAAATATATGAAAAGCTTTAAGACCAAATGAGGGGATCGTGATATCTTTTTATGTGAAAATCAATAGGAAAATACCATTTTATAAAACGTCGTTATGAATTTAGCATAACACAGATTTTTTTTTTAAAAAAAACGGGGTAAACGAGCGGTGAGAACACCGAGATGGTCAACGACGCCCATGAACATAGATGATCGTAAATGTAAAAAATTTATTCCTTAATGAATCTAAAAATGTAAAAAAGATATAAAACCACTACAAACAAGTCTATATCCTTACATCTGCTCCCTTTAGATCAAGCATAGGTCGTTTGCTGGCAACGCCACGGTTTGTACCTGCTCAAGTATGTACTCTAAATGTTTATTAAAACAAACGTAATATGAACGTGTTGACGACACCAGAAAACACAGATTATAAAGTTGCTTAACCCCCTGTCAAATATTTTAGCTAAGATAAACTGACCCTTCACCAATTGGGGAACCTTTTTTTTCAAAAATTAAAAATGACGAATTTGCGATAATTGTGGCAAGGCGAATTATATCTGCAATTGTAAGTTAAAAGTGAATTGAATCGTTCATTAACAGACTGCGCTGTTTGAGCTTTGAGCTTGATCAATACTCGATTTCGGTGCCAAGTCACGGGTAAATTGTCAATTGACTCAAGTCGTTTAACAATTCAGTTGTTCATGTAACGAGATCGTATTGCCTTCATTAATACATTAGTTATTAAACTCACGTTATAAGGTTGGGATTACAAAGATCCTTTTTAATTAGGAGTTAGATAATTACTTTTCTGCTCGACTAGTAAAGTATCAAGATTAAAAAGCGACACTACACCATACATCTGATGGGGTAAGAGTATTTTTATTTCCTTCTCCTTGTCTATTACAGTAACAGAAACGGTATCTTACCAATATTATAAATATGAAAGTTTAGATGGATGGATGGATGTTTAGTAGAGTTTGTAACCTAACCGGCAGAACGGATCTCGATGAAATTTGACACAGATGTAAAGCATAGTCTGGAATATCACATAAGCTACTTAATTTTTTTGTAAATCCATTCAGATTTCATCGCGGCCGAAAGCTAGTTTTCTATATACGTCTTTTCTTGTGTTCTCTATTCTTCTTTTCTATAAAAATTCAAGAACGCATAATACTAACTCTTCATTTTATATTGTAAAAGAAATTGTTTAAAATCCATACAATCGAGTTTCGAGTTTTATAGTAAAATATTCTATGACAATGTTGTATTTTATTTACTCTAATACTTTGTCGTGCCTTTCAAAATGTATACTTTCTACTCCAATGCTTTTTTGAGGAACAATTTTTCGTTAAGCTTCGTTTCCGTACTTTGATCTCGTATCGGCCGGTTAATGAATGGGGTCTTTGTGTGGTAATTCGGCGCGCCGGATATAACAGCCCATTGTTACAACTACTCGCCTATTACAAGTTAAATGTATAGATGTAATGATGTACATAAATCTCATCGAAGTATTTTCACTCGCAAGTGAATTGTCCGTGAAATTGGATATTTTTTTTGGATGTCATTTTACTTAACACCGAAGTAAGGACTTTTAAAAATCTAAAAATGAACGAGTCAGTCAATATTTTGAATATTATTTAGTTCCGTTAATTTATCTTCCGTAGAGTTGGCGCAACAGGTTTTTGTCCTCCGCATAGCTCTATCATACGTCATCTTAGTCATCACTCCCTTCTCGATCATGTCACCTTTCACGCAATCTATCCATTTCTTTCTAGGTTTACCGCTACCTTGTGTACCTTCACATTTTAATATTCTTTAGTATAGTCAAATGTAAATCTTTATGTCAATATCCGTTTATTAATTCGTTAAACGTTCATTAATTCAGTGAAAGTAAACGAAGCCGGCAGTTAATGGTTAAAATAGCAATTTAAAATGATTTATACTATTTTCTTTTGTTAATTAATGGAATGTATGCTTTGATGATTTTTAAAACACCACAATTAAAATACTTTTTTGATTCGGCCCTATTGTCATCAATGAAGTACCATATTGTTATCCTGTTTTTATCAAATTACCTTTTATTAAATCTCGGCTTCAAATTTAAATACAGTTTGAACAAAAAAAGTGTCCCAAACACCGAAAACCATGTAAAAAGTAAAATAAAATGATGACATTTCTGAAGAAAATTCGTCGAAGCAGCTGCTTGTACGTCCATTAAAAAGCCTCGTTGAGCGTCCCACTTTTTATTTTTATTAGTAATTAAACAATTAACCCATTCGGCCACACAAAAGAGCTTTTCTGAGTCTCCCCTCCGAGTGAGAGAAATTTTATACCTATTCAAAGCGTATTGTGCTAAATTTTAGGTCGTTTATTTGGTCCGTCTACAAGATAAAATCTTTTGGCTGTGATAAAAAAAATATACGCCCTTTATTTAGAGGCCATTGTCAGAACACAGTTCAATATATTAAACCAAAGTTTTCATATTCCATTCTTTAGGATTTCAATTATTTTTATCGAATATTTTGACAACTACAATACTTACTACATAACGTAGTATGGAATATCCTTTATAGCCCAACCAGAATATAAAAACCCTTCGCTTATTGCGAAAATATATAGAAGTAACTTTTAATGTGTGTAAGCATCATAAGTTATCTTAAGTAACGCTCATTATTCATGATTTATGAATACACTTATGCAGGGTCTTCAACATCACCAGTTCACTGTACATCGCCACTGAGGGCCTCGAAGCCTTTTTTATTTCCTAACTAACCAACTAACGGGTGACTAGACCTAGTTTGTAGGGTCTTGTTGAAAGAAAAATAACTTTATTTAGTCACTAGTTGTTCCCGTGCGGCTTCATCTGCATGAAATTATGAAAATTTCTTTTTATTGTTTACATTTGTCAAATGATCAATTGCAAATGTCAAAATGACATGACATGATGACAATCCATGGCAATTTTACTTCCTTGATGTTGGCAGCAACTTATGGTCTCTTTCCCACATTAGGATTTTTATTCAATTTATTTACCAACTAAGTTTAATATCGTAAAAATATATAGCCTAAAGCGTGTAGTAAGTGTAGGGCTTTTTATTAAAAAAAGAATTATTCAAAAATATACAGTGATTGCTGACATCTTAGGCAATAAAGAAGTGTGTGTTTACGCTTTATTATAATAGTATAATATATGTAGATATACCTACTTAGATAGATATAATTTAAAAAGTTGGTAACTAAGTTAAGGAAGTCCGATATTCTATTTTTAATGTAAAAAGGCGAAATGTTTATAATTACAAGATTAAACTGATTGTAGAATTAAATGAATAGAAACAAATTGTGTTTTGTTGTTTATTTAATATAAATCTCTTTTGACTTGAACACGATCACTAATTTTACAGACAAGATTTAATAACATTGATTATTTCTATATTTTTCAGTCGAGTAGCTTAGAACAATACGTACAAAATTAAATTCTCGCTGACCAATTAAAACAATTCTACAATATTTACATTTTAAAACGCAGCTTCAAAAAAGGTAACATCAAGATTTTTTTATAATTTGCCAAATATAAGCTAGTGTTTGTGAATATTTGTGATAAATATAACATTGACTAATGAAGAAATAAATTTTTTCGTTTTTTTGTTATAAAATATTTTGTGTGTTTTAAGCTAGCATTCACTGAAATCATTAAAGCATTTTTACTATGGAATTAAAAGACATAAAAAAGATCGACTTTATCGTAGTTAAAGGGACATTTAAATATAATTTAGTTAAAAATTCTTCATTACGTTTATTATTAAATAATGTAAACACCGAATAATTGATCCACACACTGTTCAATAAAGCAAAGTTACAAATTGTGACATCCAATAATTATTACCATTTATCAATTATATACATAAATACGCATAGACAACACTACAAATATTTACAATAATGTACAATTATCTACAAGCAAACGTTAACAATGACTTCGTCGATATAACGTTAAATCGTGAATTACATTTTAAAAAGTAGAATGGACCATAGACATCAAATTTACATGAATTATTTAAGCAGGCAGTGATACTGATTACATAGAATAAAACCAATTTTTTTATCCAAACTTCAAGATTGACAAAAAAAAAATGTTAAAAAAGTCATAAATTTTTAAGTAAAAAATCGGATTTAGTGTCAGCCTTTTCATGTACCTAATATCTACTAAAAATTGATAACAATAACATAGCCGATAAGTTTCTAGGAAACAGCTGTAGTAATACAAAACATTAGTTAGGCTTTTCTATCACTTCAACGTATACTCGCCACTTGTATTCACTAGATATTTACATAATATTTTAAACATTTTAGCCAAGCTAAAACAGTTTGTCTTTTAGACGCACTGGAAATGTTACGACACGCACTTGTCCATTGGAATGTTGGAATGATCAAGTTTTTAGACAACTGTTACTCGTATGTTCATTTTTGCCCCTTATTAAGGTGTCCTCCGAAGATGTTCGAGGCGGGGAAGATGGGGTCGAATGACCCCTCAGCTTTGTGTCAAGGAATCCAACGGCACCACCAATTTTCCGTTGGAGTAGCTGTAACCAAGAATTTTATTGTTAAAATTTAAAGTTCATATTCAATTATATGAAAATACAATGAACACAACAAAAATAATAAGCGTTTTACTAATTTATAGACGATAACGACACGACAATGTGATGTAGGTAGTTAAAACATAAGGTGATATTGTGCAATGAAATTAAATTGTGATATAATATTGTGCAATAAAATAAACACACTAATAACGTTCAATAAGTACAATTAACCTGTATGGTATAGTAGCTGTTCTCGATTTAGCCCTGCTTGGCCTACAACCATCATCTGTAACCAAGACACTTTGTTATACTTCGGAAAACGTTGTATTTCAAATTGAAGCCGTGTTGTAAAGGCCTTCAATTCTTATAACCTAGGCCTTACATTTTTTATAACACAATTGTAAAACATACTTTTGTTAATTTTGTCATGGATTTTGTGTGGGATTTATATGATTGCTTAGATTAGACCTTTCGGTAAAAGGGGAAAAAATGGACGCGCTTTGAAACAAAAAAAAATGTGTCTTAACTACTACTGTATAACATGTTGCATAGTAATTTGTAAGAAGGCATCTAAGTGTGGTGGGTCCCTTACCATGGTGCGGTTAGCATCGTTGTGAAAGGCACGCATCGCATTTGACGGGCTCAGCGCGCCGCTTACTTTGAGAGCCCTGCGAGCCGGACTTACGCCGGAAAGTGTACCTAACGAGCAGACCTGCAATGTAAAACGCCGCACCGTTAACAAAATAAACGAAACCAAACAACAAAGCAAGCGCGTCCAATTGAAAAGCGCCTATAGGCGAATGAAACAGGCAAATAAGAGGAATTCTCAGGATTTGCGCGACTTGACAACGAAAAACCTAATATATTTCATATTAAGCAGCAAGCTTCTATAAGGAATATTTGTGTCCCGTTGACGGTCATGTGTGTAATAAATGTAGCATTTTATTAAATATTTCAATCTAAAATGATTTCTAAGCTACCATAAATCCGAAATTCCTTACAAGTTGTACCTAACGTACATAAAGACTAATTAATATTTTAATATTGTACCTGTTAATCCCGCTTTGTTGATGCTGTTTGAACTTGAAAATCCTGACAGTTTCTTCCAAGCCCTCTTGTTCCAGAATCCTGTTGATTTTGCGTCACCACAACTAGAGCTTCGAGGCGATGCCACATCTCTAGGGCACCTTAGAGTGCAATCATCAGCGCCTAAAATACGTACTCCTAAGCCGCGGGTACCATAAGCTACAGCGGGTAAATGAGGAACTGATCCAGTCGGTTTTCTTCTCAAACTGCCGACGTAGCTAGCACCACTGCTACTGCCGCTAAATCCGCTGTCTAAGTCGGGAGGATTACAACTAGCAGGGGAAAGTAGTTCATCTGTGGGTCCCACTCTCATTAATTCTTCAATGTTATCTCTATCCTCAGCTCTTTCCGAATCTGGAGATTCGCACTCAGGCATTAACATAGCTTCAACGCTAAGATTAAGTTCACCTAAAATTCTTTTATGTCTTGACTCGACCCGCCGAACTTCCTCTTCGACTACACTTCTATCTAAAGAAACTAGTGATTGTCGGGGACCATACCGATGTTTGGGACAGTTTCGGGATCCGTCTGTAATTTCTTCATAAATATTTTCTTCAGTACCGTATCTCGTAACGTAATTGTGGCGCGCAGCGCGATCTCTCGGTATACCTCGTCCTCTTTGGCGGCCTGCTTTCCTCGAAGAAGATGGCATAGATAATTGATGGTCATAATAAGCATACGAGTAGTCGACTGGCTCGAATCGCTCCATTGTAGCGGCAATATTATTTCTATTCCACGTTTGTGGCGGTGGTTCCCTTGATAAATTAATGGCTCCAAGTCTCGCGGGCAAGATTTCATCTAAGTCACGAGCGCAGCGCTCGTCCAATGATTGCGCACCGTCATCTTCGTCTCGTCTATGTTTTCTATGCGGTCTGTGCGATGTTTGACTCCTTCCGTGTCCTCGATCACAATCTGAGCTGTGACCATGGTTAAAATCGGGCGTATGACTTCGATTGTAATCTACGGATAAATGTTTACAATCGTGGTGATAATCCGGTGTTCTTCGTAGACTGTATGAGGACATTCCTTCGAAGTCGGACCTATCGTAACACGGACTGTCATCATTGTTGCTCATATGCGTATGAGAGCAGTCTGCAGCTATACCGGATTCGGACGACGGATAGTCGTGGACTTCTGCGGTAGTAAGAACGCGGTCGTCGGTCCGAGCGGGTTCGGAGGTGGCGTGCCGGTGGTGCGGGCGTGGACGCGTGTTCTCGCGGCAGCTGGCAAAAGTCCGCTGCAGCGCGGGCTGGTGCGGGTACCTGCCCCTTCGGGAGTGGAACGCCGCCTCCCCGGTGTCGTCGGGGCTCGGGGGCGCGCTGCGTGATTCCATGGTTCATCCTCTCATTTCCTGTTGTGTCTGAAATAGAAAAAAATAAATTTAGTATCAGCGCATAATTTAGAATATGCAATTTTTATACATAAGCTAATATTGTATGTGTAAATACATCGAAATATTGGTGTCATTTTTGTATAATATTTTTGGTACGGAGAACCGAGGGCAATGAATCCGAAATTACGGCGAGTACGATAAGGGTACAGTAAGTGACGATCAACAGAGCGGCCGACGTCGATATATCATCCCGCTCGCTGCAATAGATTGGGGTTATGAACGGAACGAATTTGAATTTGTAGCAGTAGCTTCTTTTATGTTTGATAAAGAAATTACTTTCTTGTAATACATTTTGATAAAAATGTTTATTTATAATAGTGGGTTCGCAATGAACTGTTTTATCCAAGACATATTTGAGATACAAATATAGAGGTACATATGGATTATCCATTTCAATTACTTTTTTAAGGACTGTAGTCGCGAACAAGATGAAACGTATGCCGGAGGCATTCATTAAAAAATCCAATCAACATACGAGGAGAGAGTCGTTAAATGTATTTCAATCAATCTTAGACGGGGGATATTGAATGAAGGTACCTAATCAATGCAAAAGTAGCCTTAGATGAATCTAAATTATTGTCAACAATGATATACTACGATTCATAATATTTAATCCAATGTGTTAGAAAATTGTGATCATATTTATTTTTATTTTACTAACACATACGTGCATTCAAAGTTTACAAAAAGTATTTAGCAAAGTCAATTTTGCTACAAACACAATGAAATATATTGCGTGCATTCCAAGCCAATTTATTAGGATAACGATGATAAGAATCCCGGTAGATAGAAGGGCTCGCAGCCCTCGGTCCATCTCTATGGCAACGGGCGCGTTCCCGCGGTTTATCTGTTCGTTTCCGCTCGATATTTCTTGCATCTAAATCATCATCAACACTGGGAAGCGGCTCGTAAAGCGCTCGTTGACCGTCTGGCTGCTACAATAATTTGTTATGACCGTCCCTGTAACGCCCTGCGATTTATTTTCATGCCCATTGCACGCATCACACGCTCGGTAGTGTTAAATTATCACAAGCAATTATAACAATGGAATTGATGTAAATGTCCTTAAATGATTTTTAAAATATAAGCTAAAGCGGTAATTGTCATTAGTGCATAAACAAATGAAACACGGTTTTTGATAAGTTTAAGTCCACTTATGTAGTTTTTATATAGTTACAAATAAAAATAACATCACATAGTTTTTAAACACCAAATACTTAACTAAATTTTACCATTTTCATGAATTAATACTTTGTAGTCATATATGTAGGTTTCGTTTTAAAAACAAAGCTGTGAATACGGTCGGTCAACAATTGATTAATTTTAAACAACAATAAGCAAATAACGTATTATTTTCTGAAAATTTGGGTACAAATTTATTCTCGACGTTATTTGACTGATGATGTCAGCAAATTTCTGGCCCCCTTATATTCACCCCTCAATTTTTGTCTGTTAGATATTTGAAGGGGAAAAAAGTCGCAACATTTATATTGCGAACATAATTTCAATCAATTGCTGTTATTGCTTGCTTATTGAAGATGTTTATTGAAATTTTATACAAGAAACTTTGCTACTCATTTAATAGAGAAATTCTACGAATTCCCGTGAGATTTAGTTTTCTTTAGGTTTTTTGTGTAGAATTCTGTCTGTAGTTAATGACAGACTTGTTTGTGTAGAGATTAAATATTGAAATTCGAAGAAAACTAATTAAGTTAATAAGTTTTCTTCTGATTCTTTTATGATTACTTTATTTAGCTTCTAAGAACTCATCGAACTCACTAATTGACTTAATAATTTCGTTGTGAAAACATAATTTTATAGCAGAAAATACACAGAATAAAAAAGTCGATAGCTTGGGGTGAACATGCCTATAGGGCGAACGACAAATTCTCCCTGTTAAAAAATATCATTCATCACAAGGCGATAAGATAATAAGTATATTCCAAATTTGTATGCACCCCTCCTGTTACTTCCTAGTGGCAAAGTAAAATTGATTTTTTGTGTAGACACATGTGTCTTGTGAAGAAAAGCACTAACAATGTGTTAGGGGTTGAAATAACCACCCTTTTCGAATATTAGAGACGTTTGTAAAGAAGATTTTTTTCCAGCATATTTACTATGCTGTCTAAAACATTTGACTTATTCAGTTTTATTAAATTTTACATAAAATGGTATAAAGTAAACTGGAAAAACATCTTAAATCATCAAAGAAGTTTTTAATAAAAACTCAAGAAACTCTTGTGTGCTAAACAAAAAAAATTAAATTCGTTTAACAAGGAATTCCATTAGTATCTTATTTTAAAGTCGTCTTAAGCCCGTTGATTACGGTTGATACACGGGACATGCTATAAATCAATCCTTGTAGCTTAAGGGAATTGATCGTTCAAATAGTTTGCTATTCCTGTCACTAGAATGAACGTAGATGAACTAATTAAAGATGGAAATTGCACAAAAAATCACTTGAAAACTACGCTTGGATTACAGCTCTCGGAAAAGCACAACTAGTCAACGTCATTCCATCAAAACGAGTTTTACAACTAGCACCAACTGTTGCTAAGCAACGAGGATTGAGTTCCGTTGATATAGGTATTCTCAAAAATATTTACAGTTACATAATGTTCCATGACCATAAACAAATTGAGCAATTTAATTTATTATATACCTCTTTACTCAGAAATCTTACGAATATTATAAATGCGAAAATTTAGATGGATGTTTCTTAGAGTTTGTAGCCTAAACAGCTGAACGCATGTCGACGACATTTATGGAATAACACATAGTCTAGTTCATTTTGTTTTCACGCATGGAGTCGTGAGCTAAACTAGTGTATAGCAAATTCTTCTTTTAATGCTCTTTGGTTGTATGGGAGAGCTTGTACGCTACTAAACTGGCCAGTAGCGCAACACCGCGCGTTTTAGAATAAAATGAGTGACAAATATGTGATGTTCAGTTGACATGGTTTTGTTTCTTATCTTTTTATGTTAATTTATAACAGCGATTTCAAATTGATTAGTCTTTGAATGTAATGGTTATACATATAGTTAGATTTTTCTAGTATACCATCTTTGACAATCCTCGAGACGTGCGCTTTTAGACAATGACTATCAGTTTATCTTTACCATATTTAAATACAAAATGACTTTCAAATAATAAATTAGGCAATATTAAAAACGTGACCACTTCTAATAGGTTTTATAGACTTTCATTCGCTACGGTCGGCGGTATAACGTAAGAAATTAGGTTGAATAGCTTTTTAATCATAGAGAGCATGACGAATCGCCCTGTCAAAGTATTATGTCTGTAGACTCAAAGGTGCTTGAACTTGTGTTGTTAGGTCCGTTTATATTCACAACTATACAATCTACGAATTTGTTTAATCTGTGGAATTTTTTTTACAGTACATAAATATAGAGTTAAGAATCGATAAGTATGAAAACAGACTGCTTTAAATATGATTACCTTGACCTTGACTTGAATGACCTTTTTTCAGTTGACTACTATATAAGAGCAGATTTAAATTAGTAAAATAAACTTACATAATTCTAGTTACTTAATAACAATTATCCCTTACTTTATACCTATTTGCAGAGTGAAAATAGGGTCGCCATTAATGAGGGTATCATGTTCCAGACTCGGAAAGTAAATCGTTTGTTTTATAAAATTAGATTAAGCGCTAATCGCTTGATGTTAAAAAGCTAACTTAATAATGTTTTTGTGAATGCCGTATACGTACGCTAGAGCCAATTATTTTTAAGACGTACAAGCCGATTGGAAAGCAATATAAGTATACAACATGAAAATTAGATTCAGGGAAGTAGCAACTTTCTTATGACACGAAAACGAGGAATCTTATCTTTATTATAAGTAAAATTCTTGTATAATTATTATTCTCTAGTTAAAACATAAGGGTCATTTATTGTAATGAATGATTTCTGTTATGTTATATTCTCATTACGTATATTTATTTCTTATTGTTTTCGTTACATTATCCCTATAGTGACAGTAGCTTTTGCTACTGTATTTCAACAGACCACGACACGGGAAGTGAATTCGAGGTATACGACAAAGCTATTGAAATTTGTAAGCGAAAATTAGCCATCAGCTTTAAGGAAACGGCCCCATGAATTGGCTACCGGCCTATAAAACTTAATGTCACATTCATTTGCAATTCAAGAGTCCTCAGTCTGTATTATGCCTAATAAAATTTACATATTTAAATTAAATTGCTAAATAACAAGACATTGAAAACGTCAAAGTTGATACTACGGTATGCATTCCATTCAATGAGACCACAATGTTTTCATTTGCATTTACAAAACAAACAGTGACATTTCTAGAATATTCTACTTACTATTTATTTCCAGCAACGTTTAGGCGACGTTTTATAAAGTTTTATACATTTAAAAATACTTTATTTAATGAAACAATATTGGATTGTAAGCGATACCTGTAATTCCCCAGATTACGTATCGGCACAGAATTGGAGTACAGATGAGTAATATCCAATGACCTTTGACATTAATCAGTCCAATACGATAACACTTTATTCCGAACAGCAGTGTGTCGTGCGCGTTGTGGCGATAAATTACAAAACAAAGGACGGACATGTGTTTATATTTATGCCATTATTTTCGTATTACCCGACGTGAATCTCAAATCGGACGGATACATTGCGAATATTGTGTTTATTTTTAAACATTACGATATGTTACAATAACACATTAGATACGTGATTAAAGTCACGTACAAAAGCACACTTACGCAAGTAACACCATATCCAGGATACACTTAAGGCTGAATTTTAAAAAGGAATTTTTGCTTCGTAAACGCCACTTACAATCTCGCAAATGTCGAAATATTAATGGAATTTGTAGTTTAGATGTGGTTTTTATTTAAGACGCTGTTAAATGTCGTTTTTGTATTCGTCAGTTACTAACCTAGTGTCTGTTAATGATTACTTTAGGTTA